AAAACCACAAGGCTTCCGTTTTTCTGCTTTTCATTCGCGCTCAAGAGAACACAATGGGCAAGGGCTTATTATGTGGTTCTGGCGCCATCTTGTCGATAGACAACGTCAATCATCAGGCCGCCGACGAGCTCTCAGAAATTGTAAATATTTTAAAATAGGCACTGTTTTTACAAATAAATTGCATATGCAATCTAAACAACTACAATATCTACTAGAAAAGCCTCACAAGTATATTTTGTTGTCTAACCGCAGTAATATTCGTCAAACTGTAGAGTTTGCCTGTTGCTGGCTGTATGTGGGTGGAGTAATACACGAAGGGTAAAGAGGCTGTACGGATGCTGATATTATATATATATACATATATGTCACATGCAGCAAACACCTTTACGACACTCACATACATAAAAAAATAGGGCCATGACTTAGAGCATGCAGGGCTATCTAAATAAATAGGCAATACAATAGACAGATGATCACTTTGTCCTGTTCAAATATAATTTAAAAAACTAATGAAAGAAAAAAAGCAGGAGAAAGAATGCCGCTTTGAAACGGAAGCTTATTCTATCAACGTGCTTTAATCCTTTCATTTCAGGGTTCTATTAGGACTAATTAAGGAACTAATTATAGATTTCATAATTCATTATTAAAGTATACACTGCAAAAAAATGCTTTTCTTACTTAGATTTTTTGTCTTGTTTCTAGTCCAAATATCTAAAAGTTCTTAAATCAAGAAGCATTTTATAGACGTAAAACATATTGTCTTGTTTTAAGAAAAAAACTGACAAAATGAAGTGAGTTTTTTCTTAAATCAAGCAAAACAATCTGCCAATGGGGTCAGCAAAATAATCTTACAACAAAATTATTTTGCTGAACCAAAAAAATGTTATGCATGCCCACCTATAATATATATATATATATATAAATCCACCTTAGAGGATATTGAGGGTCAAGAGTCATTAGCATTGCTATTTTGGGGGGTTGCAGGCTGAAAATTTTGGGACCCCTGATCTAAAACTCCACATCTATAATCCTCTTAGTCTATACTGACATTATCTTCAGCAGCTCAAACACTCTAATGGCTAATGGACAGACGGCTGCTTCTCACTCAGGGCTGCTGTTTATGCTAATGAGATGGGCTCTAGTGGGCGGGGCTTTAACCCTCTGATGACACGTACAAAGTGAGAACGTCAATCAGGTGTTTCATTCATCAAGTCTGATCATAAACAAATGCAATTAAATCATGTTGGCCATTAGAGGCTGGAGGTATTCACACACTGCTGACACACAACTGGAGTTAAACAACTTATACAAGTGATTTCTGCATAATAGAGGTCCTTTAAGTGAAACAAGAGTAAGCATATTTATTAATAATTATAAGTGATTTCTCTTCGAGGTGTTTAAGGCTTGCATAATTAGCAGTGAGTGAGGACGAGTTCAGCAGAGCGACCCTAACACTGACCTTAACCTGATTAAACCCTGAGAGAAACCTTCACCCTTAACAGCCGCATTTCTGCTCCACATCCATCACAACCACACTCCCCCTGCGCAGAGCAGCAGGCATTACTGCTTTCATTATTTCATACAAACAGAAGATCAAGATCTGAAACACACACACACACACAAATGCATGCACTCACTCACTCATTTTTTTTTAAGGAATATAAGATATTAGGTTTGGATTTTCTTTGACTATATCACTCTGAACTTGCATAGTGTTCACATAAATTAATACTTTTTTACGAGCTGTGAACATCTCTGCACTTTACTTACCAGCAACTGACTGCTGTGCGGCCTACATCCCCATCTCAATGGAAACAACAGCTGCGTCCCAAATGGCACACTATACACTATGCACTCATGCACTATGTACTTATGCACTTACACACTCAACAGGATAGTATATGTATGTAGTGGCGTCCCAAGTATATGTATGTAGTGGCGTCCCAAATGGCACACTAATGTTTTTTTACTAAGCGGAAATTCAAACCGTTTCCCTGATGACGTTTGACGGTCGCCAAATCAGTGAAACAAACGACCGAATTATCAAATAAAACCTGCAGTGAGTATTGCCGCATTCACCATCGGGAGGCGCTATAATCACTCTCATAGGAGAATTCTGCTTTCACCATCCAAAATAAATAAAGTTATCCAACATGTGCGCCCGATAGCTCCGCCCCTTCCGCTACGTAAGCAAACCTGCGGTCGTTGAGTGCGTGAAGTGTCCATCATTACACACTTCATTTTACGGCTGAATGAGTGCAATGACTACTTACACTATTTATACTACAAAATGGCGTAGAATAGTGCATAAGTATGCGATTTGGAACGCAGCTAACATCATGAGCGCGGAGATTGGAATCTGTTCATGGGGATTGGGGGAGGTACTCGTAAAGGAGTTGTCGAGGA